GAATAAGAATCTTAAGTTGAAAATTGCCAACTTTTATTTTTATTTCTTATTTTTTATTTCTTTATTTCGTGAGTATAAAGTGATGTTAGCAATTATAAACCTTTAACTTTTATTTTTATTTCTTATTTTTTATTTTTATTTCTTATTTTAATGGACCATAAATTCACCTTAAAGCCAATTTTATTTAATATTTTATCTTAGATCATACATTGTATGATCTATGTATTTTATCTGAAATCTGATAGCTGTCAAGCAACTTTAACCTCACTTTTTACTAAATTTAACTTTAGCCCGTGGGCGAAATGCCCCTTGATAATACTCAATATCGAGTCTACAACAAAAGGGGCATTTGTTAACTGTAGTGCGTTTGCTAAAATTTATTATTTTTAAATTAAAGTACTTACACCTTAGCTAAAAAATTAAATGTAAATGTTAAGTGCCAACTTCAAAGGGCTATAAAGCATTTTTGACCTATGTTCTTAGGAAGTTTAATCATATTTTGCGCTTAGCGCTAAATTAAGAAGTAAAATCCATTGTAAAATGAAAATTAATTTATATGAATAACTAAAAAGGCCAAAATATTTTGGTCGTGAATTATTTTAGTTTCTTGGTTTATTTCCTACCTATTTGGTATTCGGCTCCTTATAGGAATGTTTCTTATTTCATTGCAAAAATTATTAGAAAAAAACTTAAATATTGCTTTTAATTCGTGTCTTTTCTAAAACTAGATTGTGTAATTTGAGTGTTTATTTAGAAAATAACTTATTTTTCTTGTTAACTGAAATGCTCAATTTAATCTATGCTGAAATGTGAGGTTCCAAAATTCTATTTGTCGAAATACATACATATATGTATATTAGGGTGGGCCAAAAAAACTTTTAATTTTTTTTTCTTTAGTTACCATGAAAATATCGTCCAACATGACGAAAAAAAATTCTGATAAACTTTGAGCTCTTAATATTAATATTAAGAGGTGGCTTATCGCGATTTTTTATTATCCATTTAAATAACAAGGGAAAAAAACATTGTTTTGTTTGTAATTTTATTGCGTTTTAACGAATCAGTGAGTTGTAGAAATCAATACATATTCTTGTATTGAACTATCTACAAAAAAGATCTGATATGATTTTTTGCTTAGTCGACTCGTTTAAAAGTTATTTGAGGTTAAAGTTCAACCTCAAATAGTAAATGATGACTTTTTTTAGTTTTTCATACTCTATTACGAAATATTGGCTCAAAAACATGAAATATCATATTTTTCGTGAAGTTTATCGAGTGTTCTTCGGTAAAACAATACAATTTTTACGTAATAATCGTGAAAAAGCATTTTTTTTATACTTTACAATTGACTATTAGGTAAAAAAAGTCATGTTTTAATAATTTATCAATTAAAATAAAAAATGTTATTCCATAACTTGTACTTTTTTCACTTTAGAATCAAACTAAATTTCTCTTGTTACAATTGGGATATTTTTGCCGGTGGTTTTTTACTACTCGCAATAAGTATTGCAAATATTTTTATTTTATTTAGTGAGACATTTGTTGTATTCTTCTATTAATGCAACTCCTCTTTCTGCTACATCATTGAGAACGCTAAGACGTTTGAAAAATACTAGATTATCTTGATAGCTTTCATCCTATGTCCAAAATTCTACATTCTTATTGATAAAGTCAATGGGTAAATCAAATATATTAAATATATATATGTATATTTGATTCTAAGACAGTGAAAAAGTACAAGTTATGAAATAACATTTTTTATTTTAATTGATAAATTATTGAAACATGGCTTTCATTACTCTACAATAGTCAAGTGTAAATAGAATATTTATTATTTTTTAAGAAAATGATTAATTTTTTTGTCATTACTGAGGTAAAAAAAAAATTTTGAATTAAAAAAAATATATATAGGAAAAAAAACGGTTATTTCGTAAAAATTGTATTGTTTTACCAAAGAACACTTGATAAACTTGATAAATATGATATTTCATGTTTTTAAGAAAATATTTCGTGATAGAGTATGAAAAACTATAAAAGTCATCATTTACTATTTGAAGTTAAACTTTAACCTCAAATAACTTTTAAAAGAGTGGACTATGCAAAACATCATATCAGATCTTTTTTGTAGATCATTCTGAATGATTCATTCAATTCCCTACAAGAATATGGATTGATTTCTTTTTTTAGATCATTCTGAATGATTCATTCAATTCCCTACAAGAATATGGATTGATTTCTACAACTCACTGATTCCTTAAAACGCAATAAAATTCCAAACAAAAAAAATTATTTTCCCCGTGTTATTTAAATGGAAAATAAAAAATCGCGATGAGCCACCTCTTAATATTGATATAAAGAGCTCAAACTTTATCAGAATTTTTTTTCGTCATCTTGGACGATATTTTCATGGTAGCTAAAGAAAAGAAAATTAAAAGTTTTTTTTGCCCACCCTAATGTATATGTTATGTATATGTACTAAAGTAAAGTGTACTGTGGAGAAGATATCTCATATGAATTAAATAAGGAACAAAATGTATTTAAAAACTATAATATCGCAAGAGTTAACTTATTTATACATTTGTTTTTCCATTTATCTATTTATTTATTTATTTATATTATGATGGTTATTATTGCGAAACAAAATTCTGAATCCAAATTAAATATAAAACAGGAAACATCCATACGAATAAATAAATATTGATTTTATTTGAGTGTTTCAACTGTAGTATATGTTATTTAAATGGTGTGCCAAATTTTTAAAAAATTATTTTTTTATCAAGTTTATTTATCATTTTTTCTTAAGTGGTATAAAAATTTACGATTAATAATCTTTCCAATTTTATGATTTTTTTTTTAAAACCTACATTATAATATGACAATGCATTTAATTTTAAAATTGAAATTAATTAAAACTTAAATAATAATTTAAAAATTGCTTATCATAAAACGTACCTAAATAAAACAAAAACAAATTAAACCAAGGTATACACAGCACATTATTTGTTGGAACTGATACGACCCATCGGACAAAATTTACCAAACTGTTTTGTCCCCTGTACCATTCGACCACTGTGGTGTTAAGCTTTTTTATTTCAAATTATAAAAAAACACATGCTATTACAGTGGAACAGCTGTGTAATGACGATCGTTTTGAAAAAAGTCGCTTCTCTAAACCAGTTGTATACAGATTGATGATTGTGGTCCTATTAAAACGGACCCCATACAAAGAAGGCGATTCAGTGTGACGCTACCAGCGTTAATATTGTATCTCTGTCTAATACGTAAGTGTATTATTGTGGGGGTCTGCCGCTCAGTCCTGAATAGATTGCCGAAATGCCCCCAGCAAGGATTCTACGGTTACATAAAATAATATTTTGGACGGAAAATAAGAAATTAAGATAATATGTAATAGACTGGGCCAAAAAAATCGACTATTTTTTTTGAAAGTATATCGAAAATATGGTTTGGGGTGACAAAAAAAATTATTGTGAAAGTTTGAGTCCATAATATTAATATTAAGAGGTCTATCATCGCAATTTTAATTTTTTTGTTCCTCAGCAAGTTTTAGGCTCAGAACTCCCAAACCATTGAGTTTAACAAAATTGACTTAAAATCATTTTTTTAAGAAAATTAAATGCTCTACAAAAAAGATTAAAATGAAATTTTCCGTCAGATGAACCGTTTCCTTAAAATCATGCCTTAAAAATTGGTATAGTTTTACATTTTGATCTTTTAAATTGGAATTTTGTAATTCATGTAAAAATCTGTAACCATAAAAAACCGATAAATATTCTTATGGGAAATCAAATGCTTTACAAAAAAAGCCTCTTAACATTTTTGGCTAAATTCACTCAATCAAAAGTTATTCAAGGTTAAAATTTCGTTTTGAATTCAAATTTAACCTTGAATAACTTTTGATGGAGTGAATTTAGCCAAAAATGGTAAAATAGCATTTGATTTCCTATAAGAATATTTATAGTTTTTTTTTCAGGGTCCTGATTTTTACTTGAATTACAAAAGAATTACAAAAGATCAAATTGTAAAACTATACCAATTTTTAAGGCATGATTGTAAGAAAAGGGTTCATCTGACGGGAAATTCCAATCAAACTTTTTTTGTAGAGCATTCAATTTTCTTCAAAAAATATTCTTAAGTCAATTTTGTTAAACTTAATGATTTGGGAGTTCTGAGACAAAAACTCGCTCAGGAAAAAAAAATCTAAACGATGATAGACCTCTTAATATTAATATTATGGACTCAAACTTTCACCATAATTTTTTTTTGTTACCCCAAACAATATTTTCGATATACTTTCCAAAAAAAAATAGTCGATTTTTTTGGCCCCCATGTATATATTTATTATTTATTAAAAAATCTGTTCAAACCTCACTATTTCCCCAATTTAAAACCCAATTGGTTGTAATAACAGTGAATATTAAAATCGGCCAATCATTATTGACAAAGAACGTGAATAATGAGTTCATTATTCACGTTGTTAGGCAGGGCAGTTATAATGTTTACCATTATACACGAAAAAAACAAATACTGTTAATAATACGCAATAGAAGTAGAAGAAATGGTATTAAAAACACGGCGGCAAAATCATACTGCCTCTGTAAAATGTATGCTTGGCTAAAATATGAGCTTTCTCCGACTGGTCTATAATGTACTTTAATATAAAGTTTTCAAAATGAATTTAAAAAATATTTATTAATTAAATAGCCAAAATAATAATATAAAAATAATACAATGACTACCAATATAATAAAATGTGTCAAAATAAACCACCTATTTAAAAAATTTAGATCACTGTGCATTGTTTCATAGGTAGGTACCTACGGATCCAGAACCAACGAGGAGGTCGTACCTTCCGTGTCCCTTATGACCCTAATTTGTATTTTTTTACCTAAGCCAATTGACGTGCGGTTATTAATTAATTCAGCTTCACTTACCTTCTTTCGATTGAAAAATATCATTAAAAAAACACCAACTTAAATTTGGAAAAATATTTATTTAAAAAATTAATCTTTACAAATACCTGATATAATAGACAATAAAATAATTAAACTTTAGTTTTAGTTAGATTTAACGGCCGTTATTTGTGACAACCTGTTGCAGACCTTCGTTGATAATTTTAATGGACTGAAGATCGCCGTTGATAATATTTATAAGTTGGGAGATTCCATTTTGTTCCATCTTCAAAAATTGTTTTATTTCTTCTTGAGCATCAGCGTCCACTCTGTAATTTTGACTGTATTGTTTTTGACTCCCCTCGATCATTTTAACGTGGGATAGTAATTCGTTTATTTGACCCTAAAATATTTAAAAATAATAAGTTTCCCGAGAGGGTTTCTAATTTATTAATTTGTTGGTATAAAAAAACATAAATAAGTTTTTCTACTCCCCACACAGTGGTCTGAGAGGTAAATTTATACGGAAAAAATCATTCTTTAAATATTTTTCCACCACGTGACTTTTTTATATTTTTATTTCCACCTTCTTAGTAAATGACATTTTATAGGTTAATTTTGTTGTTTTTGTATCCAAGTAAACGATACATTATGGGAACAGACCTGTAATATTTTACGGGCTTGTATAAAAGACCTGTAAAGTTTTACAGGCCTGTAGAAAAGCAATTTATGAAATGAAATGACACATTTGACACATTAATTGAAATTTTAAATTTGAAAATCGTTGTCTTAAGGTGAAAATAAAAGTTTGTACGTGTCACGCTTTGCAATTAATCTTTACTAGGCTCACTGAATTATGGGGTTCGCTCCTGCATCGCTCACCCCACAAACTCCCAGCTCGCCCGTAAAGATTCATTTACAAAGCTTGACACGTAAATAACTATTAAGGGTGCTAAATTTACTTCTGATATAAATTTTTTTCAAAAATATTTGGTATTGAGAAAGGGGAGGGGGCTAAGTCTAGCCAAATGATATAAAATTATTTTTTTAAGTCTAGCCAAATGATATAAAATTATTTTTTTCAATATTCGTGTATTTTTTATTGCGATTGCAACATGGCGCAAACCTAATTCTTTATAGAAAATAACCTAAAAACCATTACCTTCATATTATTAAAAATATATTATTACGTCAACATTTCACATTTCACCATATATTTTTTTGAACCACCTTTTAGCCAATATCGTGATGGTAAATTTTAAACCATCAGATATTTTCATAAAGAATTCATTTTTCTCGATTTTTATGTAAGAATGTCATATTCTCGCATAGCACGCAAAATCGTTGAAGAATGAAGCTCATTCTTAAACGATTTTTGGTAACATTTAGTTTTTAAGTATTGGTACCCCCCAAAATGTCAAACTGTTTAATAACCTCAAATTCATTACTTTTAGGATTATTTATAATAGCTTTGTTTGTTATCCTGCACTAGTGCAACCTGAACTACACTTTTATTGAAAATGAAGCCTTTATTATTGTTTTGTAATATTAAGTTTGCTCCAACAATGCATTTTAATGCAAAATTTTAAGTTTAATGTGAAAAAGTCCAGGATAACAAATATTGTCATTTTGTGTTGCCAACTGACATTTTGCGAGAAAAATCCCCCAACTAACAACGACCACAAAACAATTAAAAAAACCTAAATAAAAGTTAAAATCGAGAAAATAGTATAAATCACACGTTGCAGAAGGCTATTCTCGCACTCATTCGTTCGTCCACTCGCTCCTTTGTCGCTCGAGGCCAAATTTCGAATTCGTGCGAGAATATGTGGCCTTCTGCAACTTGTACTTTAATATACTATTCCATAAAACGCACTTCTAGGTTTTTAGGTTTTCTTAGTTTCTGAGCACCCTGTACATTTAATTCAAAATGTTTGTATATAAATTTTATTTTTGAAACAAGCAGGAGTTTTTATGAAAATTATTTTTTTTTTCGATTCAAAATGTTTGTATATTAATTTTATTTTTGAAACAAGCAGGAGTTTTTATGAAAATAATTTTTTATAATAAAACAGTTTTTTTTCAATTTTCAACCCGATCCGTGGACTCAATGTATAATATACAAAGTATATTAAAAAAATATTAAAAATTGGAGTAAAAAAAATGTATTAACATTCTTAAATCTAATAATTATTGTCAAATTTTAAAAATATATTACTTTTATGACCATGTTGGTCTTATAAGGATAAATTATAATTCTTGTTGACCTTTTTTCATTTTTGTATACCTCTCTTATAGGCGCATAAAGGCAAATCAATTTTTAAAAAGTCGGAACTGGAGGTTCATATTTTCGAATGCACTAGGTGGTTCTCGACAAGTAATTTTAAATTTTTACTTACATTCCATTTATCATTTGAAATTACACAAACTTGACAATTTGTAGGTTAAAAACCCTATATTTTTGACAAATAATCAAAAAAAGACAAGTTGTATTTGTACTCACTTTTATCCGTAATATAATTTTTTGAAACTATTCTTTACAATTATAATTACGCAACACCTTTTTTAACAGGAAAAAGCCATGATTTTTAACAATTTGTTATAAGGCGGTTATAATGTGACAAGAACAATAAAGAAGCATTAAAATGCGTATTATATTATTATAGTTACGTTTCGATCTTTTAAATAGGTACACATTAGCTGGCCATACACAGGCGTTATTTTGCGCGGTTTATCGTGGCGTGTTGGGATGTAGCGGTTATTATGCACGAAAGAACGGCATGGCAAAAAAAGCGTCATGTTCCATACACTTGATAAAGTATTCAAATAGCTGGCCATACACAGACGTTATTTCGCGCGGTTTATCGTGGCGTGTTGGCATGTAGCGGTTTGCATGCACGAAAGAACGGCGTGGCAAAAAAAGCGTCATGTTCCATACACTTGATAAAATATTCAAATGATTTAGCAAGTGATTGCCTGTGGTATATCAGTTTCAAAGGAAAAATCGTATGTGAGTGGGCAAAAAGTGTTATTTATCGAGTCGTTTGAAACTGCATGTGATCATGTACAAATTTTCAACGTGAAATTTTGCCAAGCAAAGGTAAACCGTGACGCGGAATGTGGCGTGTGGACACGCCACACTCTAGAGAAAAGCACGTCTGAAATCCCTTCCCGTTCTATCATTTCACGCGGCGATACTTACTCACGTACATGATTTTCCATATGTTTTTGCAGATAACACGATAAACCGCGCGCAATAACGTCTGTGTATGGCCAGCTAATGATTTAGCAAGTGATTGCGCGTAGTATATCAGTTTCAAAGGAAAAATCGTATGTGAGTGGCCAAAAAGTGTCACGTGACGCGGAATGTGGCGTGTGGACACTACTGAAATGATGTACGCCACAATCCAGAGGAAAGCACGTCTGAAATACCTTCCCGTTCTATCATTGCGCGCGGCGATACTCACTCACGTACATGATTTTCCATATGTTTTTGCAGATAACACGATAAACCGCGCGCAATAACGTCTGTGTATGGCCAGCTATTGACAAGCTGTGACTAATACGCTAAAGAAGTATCGCTACCACTCGGATGTTATCATCGTAACAAAAGTATGACTTTTAATAATCAGCTGTCAACCCTTATGTTACAAATGAGTGTTTTTAAGAATAAAGTCGGAAAATGTTAAAAAATATCGATTTATTTTTTTTAACAGTTTTTTTTATGGATTTTTGAAAATCAAGAAATTTCCCAATTTGCCTCTGCATGCAGGCTCTTAAAAAACAGGTATATCAGGAACTGCTCGGCACAGAGCATTGAGTAATAGCTTTTAAAGGTCTTTAGAAGCCCTTTCAGATGATGTATCACATGATATACTTTGTCTTAAAAAAATGAGAATTTTTGAAAAAAAAATTTAGAAAATTTTTCAAAAACAATGTTAAAAATGTTCATTTTTAATTTTTTTCAAAAAAATATATCTTTTTTATAAATGTTTTAGCTACTTATTTGCCAAAATTTAGAATGAAGAAATGATGGATTTATTGTAAAAATAGAACATATTATGAATAAAATAGTAAAAATAGAACATATTATGAATATATTAACTTAAAGCTAAAACGAAAAAATATATAAGGTATAAAAACAAATAAAAACAACTTTATTTTTTTGTTTTAATTTTTTTTATAATTTTTGAAACTAAATAACAAATGAAAATTAGTTGTCTTTTTTAAGAAGTTTCCAACATTTATTTTTTGGTTTATATATTTGGCGTATAAAACTGCGCAAAGGACAAAATTGGTAAGTGAATTGTATGGGTTTTATGTGCTGGCCATGGATCCATGGTGTTGGAGATCGCGTTGAGTGTCGCTGTCGATTGTTTACGTTTATAGCCAAAATATAATCCACTATAATAAAATATAATCGCGATCTTATTTCTTAATTCTTATTTTAAGTGAGCATGAATACGCCTTAATACATCTTAAGAGAGAAGAGCCTTTAATGGTAACAAAACCAGATATAATAAACCTTAATTCAGAATTAGTTATTTGTGCACATTTAACAAGGTCTTGAATATGTTGTTCCAAGCTGAGAGAAAAAAGTTTAGTTACTATTCTGGATTCTGAAACTGGAATCAAAGCATGCATTTTTTATGTCAGCAAATCTTTTCTTAAAATACGAAATAATTGTCGCTATTGCAGAACTTAAAAGTGATTCCTGGAATGTTCTCTGTTGCAACTTGATGTTCCAGTTGTTCCGGGGTCATAATTTGTTGATCATAAGACCTTTGCAGGCTGGCTTTGCTGGTCAACCTTTTTACTGGCACTCTTACCCTATGTCCTGGCAAAAAAATGCCACTCTGCCTGAATTTCAAATTCTGTCTCATGTCATGTCTCATAGATTAATAAAGTTTTTTTTTTATATTATGCTGCGTTCCCATCAGATAAATAAATGATTTTGGAAAGATTAAGGATTTTTTTTTAATTCAGGGATTAAATGGCTTAAAAATAAATGAAAAGCGACGCTGTCGCTGAGACAGTATTATGAATTAGGCAATTCGAAACAAAAACGTAGTTTAAATGTGTAATTTTATTTCTTTCGTTTTTAAAATAAATCACAAACGGGTGAAGGGTGCACCCCGTCAGGCCATGGCCTGATTGTTAGTCAAGTGGTATGATTGTAACTCATCCTGAAGGACAAATGAATAATTCTCAGCAAAACACTGTATACAATCCAAACTAAAAAAGCCTATCCACCTAGCAATTTTCCTTATAAAAGTTATATTAATTTTAAATTTTACACAACAACATTCTGTTTTGTCAGTGTGAACTATGATAGTTAAAATATAGTGTACTGCATAAAAAGTGTGTAAGCATTTACAAATATTTTGAAAAAAAAATGCTAAAAATTGTAAAATACATACACTAACCAGGCGGCCCTGGTCTTAGGACACTAACTAGGGCCTTTTTTAGAAATCACCACTTTAGTTCATCGTTGCAAGGCTGTAAAACATTTCCAATGTCTTTATTTTTAAAACCGCTGATGTTATATTATATTATGCAGGATTTTTCTTTAATATACCAACCTAAATGTGGCAGAAAAGGCTGGCTTTTATAAACAAGAGAAAAGAGGTGTCTCAAACATAGCATAAATAAATTTTGGTAAAAGATTGAATTTTATGGTCCAAATACTAAAATTCCCCATAATGGGTTATTTTTAATATTTTTGTGTTTTAATTTTTTTAAACTGAACTCTTCATTTCTCCATTCTGAAATCTGGTAATTATCATACTTAAACATAAATAAAAAGAATAAATTTTTTTGAAAAAAATTAAAAATGGTGTTTTTGAGAAATTTCCAAATTTTTTTTTAAATTCCTATTTTTTTAAGAAAAAGTATATCATAACTGATCTAAAAGGGCTTTAAAAGGCCTTTAAAACAAGCTATTACTTAATGCTCTGTGATAAGTAGTTCCTGAGATATATCTGTTGTTTTAAGAGCCTGCAGAGGCAAAATTGGTAAACTTCTTGATTTTTCAAAATTCATAAAAGAAAAACTACTGTTAAAAAAAAAAAAAATTTGGGTTTTCGAGTTTTTCAGGACGCATTGGATGGTGTAGAGTAGGTCAAATTATTTACAAGAACTTTTAAAAGTCCCATCACTTAAAAAGTCGCTCGCTTGTTTTAAGCATTCCCTTCCTATTTCGATACGGAAAACCAAATTTCGGTCTCCTTCTATATTATCATAAATTAAGAGAAAGTCCTGAACAATATCGTTCGACTTAAAACTGGAAAAACCACGCTTTCTTTGACATAAGCATGGGCATTTCAGTTACAAAGTTCTTTGTCAAAAATCTTACTTATTGATGTGATTTTCTTACAGGCTTTCTATTTGCATTGAAATAAGCATTTTTCCATATTTTGTGCGGCAAGATTTGGAAAGCACGAATGATTGTTATTCTCTTTTATGTAAAGGTACTCCGAGTCAGTCGTACTCGCATTATATTGTTCGCGAAAATGAAAGATATAGGCTGCGAGTATGTTGGAGCTTTGATAAACTATAAAAACGTCGTCGCTATCGTTACTAGCGATGCAACGTCTTTTAAAACACTAGTAACGATAGCGACGACGATCTTATCGTTTATCACAGCTCAAACATTCTCGCGGCCTAGACATAATCTGACATATTTTTGCCGAAAATTTTCTTTTAGTCGAGTCCGCAAGTGATACAAGTCAAACTTGTACATAAAGGCTAGGTCTGCAAATGAGGCTTAAACCAAAGATAATCTTTGGCTTAAACAGGTTAATTTTGTATGGGTCGTCAAGTTCTGAAATAAGACGACACTGTCGAAAATTGACTTTTCTTCGATTTTTTCTCATAAATTATTTTACCTGTAGAATGGTATACAAGCAAAACACAAAATTAAATACTGTATCCGACTTCACTTTTTATATAAACTGGTTTCTATAAAAATATTTCTATACTCGTATGTACCCGTGTAATAAAAATCGGTATGGTATTAAAAAGGTATTATCTTTTTCTTTTAGAAAAATCTTTAGTTTGTCTTTATAAATAAACTTTATACATACTTTGTATTGTTTTGGTACATTTAAATGTGAATGCATTATTTCCAATCTACCCCGTAACATCTCTTCTTCAGGCTGAACCGCCAAACCCACTTTTCTTGTACTTTCTTGTTTCACTAGTATCTAAAATTCATAAATAAAGTACACACACATTACTTACATAAGCGTTTTTACCCTTAAAATCCTATGCTGTAATTCTAAAAATTTCTGCTTCAATTCACTTATTTGTGCTGTAGAAGAAGCATGTTTAGTCTTTAAATTAGTTATTTCCTTGTTTACTTTTTCCAAGAAGGCTTGATGCAAACCAGTCTGATATTCTTGATTTAACATTCTTGATCGCAAGTCAGAGAATCCATTGATGGGAACTGGAATGTATTTCTTTGGATTCGGATTGTCTGCAATGGCAGCCTGCCACATTTGAGCATCAATTCCTAAAACAAGTTTCAATATTCATTGTAAATATTTGAAATATTAGAGGAGAAATAAATATTATATGATTATTTTTAATCAAAAACTTAAAATGTGTTATTTAATTATGCTAAAGTTTTAACCACAAAATAAATAATAATTTAAATTCATTTGTGTGGTCAATTCTTAGCATACATTGAATTAATTTCATAAGGATTATGATACTGTATATATTAATGAAGGCAATAAAATATTAAGTACATTTTAATTTATGCATTTTTATAAAATTATATAATTCCATAAAGTAGGTACTACTCCAAATTAAGTCCCATTTTGTTTGACATTTTGTTTTTTATAAATTAAGACCTGTATAAACAAAATATATAAATATTGTATTATTTTTAGAATCTAAGACGACATTAGCGTTAATCTAACAGATACATAACCATAATTATTTGACCTCAAAATCAAAGAGGAACTTTTTGATGTTGAGCATATTACATAAAACGAAAAGGCGTCTAAAAGATGGCTTACTTAAATCATAGGATTTCATATAAAATATGTTTGAATATGTCCTATTTTATGTACTATAAGGGTCGTCTGTAAGACAGAGGGGCGTACAGTTTTAAGCCTGATTTATAGATTGCCTTCCTTCCTTCCTCCCGTAGAAGAAGAACAATACAAAAACTTGTTATTCCCTACGGAAATTTATAAATGGCACTACGATTTTCTTATTGTTCATCTTCTACGGGAGGAAGGAAGGAAGGAAGGAAGGAAGGAAGGAAGGAAGACAATCTATAATTCAGGCTTTAGGGGTTTGACGGTAGGCCCGGTCGCGGCCCTGATAAGAAATAATAATTCACTCCGGGACTAGGAATAAAACATGACTAAAATATTTCATCTTTAGACATAATGATTTGACGGCGTTGCTTCCTCAAAAATTAAAGTGTAACTTTTTGAGCACAGAACATAAAACCAAAATTCGTGTAAAATATTGCTGACTTAAGTCATGAAATATCATATAAAAATGTTTAAAAATATCCTATTTTATGTCCTATAATGGGTCGTCTATAAGACACAGGGGCGTACAGTTTTAGGGATTTAGATATCTTATTGCAGAAGTTATGGATTGTAATATTAAAGTAATACTCTAACTCAGGGGTTCGCAAACTTATTAATAATTTTATTGAAAAAAAACCCAAACAACAATCGGGATTTCCTGGTGAAGTCATGATGATATCACAACGTGATTTTTTTTTTCACGCTGTGATATCCTGAGTGCATACACATGCTTCATCATAGTGATATCATGTAGAACTCTACGGTGTGGTATTTGCAAAATTTGCGCTTGCGTATGAGCCCTGCGAATTGCGAATTTAAAACCTAGTTTGTTATTCAGATTACACCGTTATAATTAATAAAACGTTGTATGAATATCACGAATGTTGTCCGGGTTCAATTAAAAAAGATATTCCATTCCACGCGTAACGGATGGGACAGTTGCAAGTTTTTATTTACAAAATAATATTGTTCTATTATATTACTAATGTCAAATTTTTATAAATAGTTCTAAAAAAAGTTGTTTAACAAGGTTTTTATTGGCAAAATTAGGTATCGTGGTTGATTAAATTTATATGTAGGTATACTTTTTCTCTCAATGTACGAATGTGGCGCAAAAATAAATATACAAATGGCATAAAAAATCACGACATGATTTTTTATGCCATCGGTGTTTGGATATTCATTTTTGCGACACATTCGTACATTGAAAGAAAAAGTATTATAACAATTGAATCAACAGTTTAACATTCAATGTTTTCTTGGATTTAAATTAACTATATATAGTTAATTTAAATCCAAGAAAATATTAAATGTTGATTCAACATAATTTTTCTCTTAATGTACGAACGTGGCGCAAAAATGATTATCCAAACACTGTTGGCATAAAAAATCACGACATGATTTTTTGTGCCATCGGTCAATCGCAAACAGCGATGGCATAAAAAATCACGACATGATTTTCATTTCTCACGCAGTGACATCCAGATGATGTCCGTATGAATGAAATTTGTGAAAATCACGACGTGACGTTTGTATGATTTTCATTTATTACGCGGTGACTTCCGTATGATATCAGTATGAATAAAATTTGTGAAAATCACGACGTGATGTTCGTATGAATATCACGAATGTTGTCCGGGAAGCAGGGAAATATAAAAAATACAAAAGCGAGAATAAAGCGCCCCTTAGCTCGTACTTTGGATACCTTTGCACTCACCTGTAGGAGGATTCTTTAAGTACTCCTCCAATTCAGCTCTACTTGGGGTTATAAAAGGAGAAATTGATACAACTCCAACGTTGGATAATTGTTGTTTTTGTGTTTGCTGATTTAAAAACGAAGCCAAATCCGTGGCCGGGATTTTTCTGGTGCAACCAGTGACACCTTTTTCTGACACAGTTATCCGTACTTCTGTCTGAGAGTCGCTTGCTGCTTTAATCTGCGTGATCTCAATAGTAAGGTTAGGTTTGTTTCCCAAAATACCTCCAATACCATTTTTAAGGACATCCTTTTGGTTTTGTAGTTCAGAGGCTTTTTTGTTAAATAAAAGTTTTACTATGCCTTCCGAGTTGTCTTGTTCAGGTATCATGTTGTACCCGATTGTTTTGAATCGGTGGAAAGGGTTTTGCGATTTGTATTCTATTGGGGGTTGGGAGGAATTGTAGTAACCTTTGCCGGTACCCCAGCAAGCCTGAAGCATGTTCCATTTTTTCAGAATATCGTCTCTTTCGTCATTAAACACGTTTATTGCGTAAACACTAGCCACCACTTGTTGCGCATTGGTTTGGCTAGAATGCGTAGGAGCTAAAAGAAGAACGTTAAATATTGTTACAATAGTAAAATATAAATTACATACCAACTGCTGTTGCTGGTTTGGCTCCAAAAGTGTTTCCAAACAAATTAGGCGCGCTAGTACCAGTACCAAAGCCTCCAAAGGCCCCAGTCGTATTACCAAATCCAGTCGTAGTACCAAACCCACCGGTACCAAATAAAGAGGGCGCTGAAGTGGTAGCCGTCTGTCCAAACAAACCTCCACCGCCAAAACCAGGCTGAGTGGTACCAGTATTGCCAAACAGACTCGGCGTTGAAGTCTGCGTGTTGCCAAATGTGTTGCCGAAAAGTGGAGCAGCTTGTGAAGTGGAAGTTCCGAATAAACTGGGCGCCGCGCTGGTTTGCGTGTTTCCAAACAGACCGCCTGCCTGCGTGAACAAACTGCTTCCGCCGGACGCCGGCGTAGAAAACAGACTGGGAGCGGACGAGGTGGGCGCTCCGAACAGCGAAGGTTTCGCAGCGGAAGCGCCGAACAAGGAAGCGTTACCGGCGGGCGCACCGAAGGTTGAGGTGCCCGCCGCTGGGGCGCCAAACGTGGTGCCAAAAGATGGGGCGCTGCTTGCCGGTGCTCCGAACGAAGTTCCAAATGAGGGGGTTGCCGTGGCGGCCGGGGCGCCGAATGTCGAGCCGAATGCCGGAGCTGCCTGTTGCTGCGCTCCGGTGTTGAAGCTCGAACCAAAACCGAAACCAGTCGAGGCCGTTGAAGCTGCTGGTGCACCAAAGCTACTGCCAAACGTGGGTGCTGAAAATAAAAATAATTTTAAATTTACTTTTTTAATACCTACTTATGTGCGAAAAAAGTGAATAACATAAGGTGCCTTGTCACGCAAATTCTATTTTTTTTATTTGCGTTATTATCTCTGTTAACACAACACAGGGGTCCTCAAGGGTGAATAGTAGGGTGTATCAAAAAAATCGACTTTTTGTTTTTCTTCAAATGGTCAGCAAATTCTTTTAGAGGATGTCAAAACAAAGACCTCGTTAAAATTCGAGCTTTTAATTTGAAGATTTAGAGGTCGCGGATCGCAATTTTCTATTTCCCATTTAAATAACATAGGAAATTTTTTTTTTAACTTTGTAATTTTATACGTCTATATCGAATCAACTTATGGCAAGGAACATCTTAGATTTTTATAGTAAATTTAACGCTCTATAAAAAATGTCTCTTATAATTTTTCTATAAATTGATTTCTTCCAGAGTTATTCGAGGCCAAAGTTTGATTTCCATCGAATTTTCTCGTTTTTTCAACTTTTAGCATCATGTAGTAAAAAAATCACATATTTATATCTGAAACATAGGAAGTGTTGTAAAAAAACAAAAAAACAAAAAAAAGTCACTTTTTTCCAAAGCCTACTACAAAGTTTTAATGAAAATATGAGATGTGTATAATATGCAGAGTAATTTATATATAAATGCATTTTTCTCGAAAATGGTGCATCTGAGCAATTCAAATCAAGAGTACCTATTTTTCGTAAAAAACTATAAATTCTCATAATTTCATAAAAAAAATTAAATTATTAACCCAGAAAAAAGTTGGGGCTATTTTTGTAACTTTGCCCCCTCCAAATGTTACGCCTATGATTAAATTTTAACAGTTTTGATTGTAGATCTAGATTCAGCATGTCAAAATTACCAAAGTACCGAAAATTCATTTGTTCATGTTCAACCCTGTTAAAGCATAGTTTCAATTTTTAATTCTTTATAACGTAAATGTATAGTTTTAAGTATAATTTAAGCAGGCTTATATTGCCACTCCCACTGTAGAGGCAAGCCAATCATATGTAGTAGCAAGGGGGGTTAAAACTACCCGAACTGTAGGACGACAATCGACATTCGAAAACATTCACTCAATTATGCAGCATTGCAACACATGGGCAGTATCGACTACCCAAATTGATCGCCAATGATCTAGTTTTTATTTCACTTGTTTAAATAGTTTTAGTTTAAGTTATGTGTAAATAAATATCTACTTAAAAACCATACACTATTGTGGTTTTAATCAACAATACAACAATACAACAACATCAAACAAACACAAGCATCGTTTTATGGTCCTTCGAGCAACAATTTAACAACAATACCAAACAATAAACATTTTTTGGTCCTTCGAGCCGGATACAGGAGAGTTTGATCTATGGATATCAAATTTATCGCATCCTAGACGACAACACAATCAGCATTTCTTCAAGAACTGGACATCTATAGGAAGACCATCCAAGCCACCGTCTTCAGGCCTACACAGCTTCCTATAGTCAGATTGGGACAACACCTGGTCGCCCATTACGACAAAGCAGTAAGTCTCATTCCATTTACTATCCTTTCTATTCATATCAGAGTGTTTCTACATGTACTACGATTTATTATTTCATATAATACGGTGCATTTGCATTTTCTAAATCAATAAGACTCGTTACACATTTCAATTATAATGGAACTAGAAAATTTACAATTTACTCGTGACATTGCAATAAATCGTTTAAAAGATATCAAAAAGATAGCAGTTAAGGCCGAAAAAGATGAAGATCAAAAAGGCGCATTCCAAGTTCGATATGAACAAGTACACATTTTATTCAATGAATTTCAAGCCTTGCATGGGCAAATTATTTCCAAATCATTGGAACTTAAAACATTAGACTTTGCAGCTCAAGAAAAAATAAGATCGGACTTTGACAATACATTTTATGCCATTAAAACGTCATATCAAAGCTTATTTCCTCCAGAAATAAGTGAGTGTAATTCGCCATCAATACATAGCAACAGTAACAATTTCGTTGATAAACAAAATGTGCGATTACCAAAACTTCAATTACCAAGGTTTGAAGGCAGTTTTCAAACGTGGCTCAATTTTCGCGATTTGTACAATAGCCTCATTCACAACAATCTTTCGTTGTCAAATATTGACAAATTTCAATATTTACTCACGTCGTTAGGCCCTAAACCAAGGGCATTTATAAAATCTATACCAGTAGCTGATGATCATTACATAATTGCATATAATAAGTTAATGGACGAGTACAACAATAAAAGACAGCTCGCAACTGCCTATTGGGAGGAGGTTGCTACGTTTACAAAATTACCGTTTGCTACAAATCAAAATCTAAAAACATTAGTCAATACATTTGATGAAAATATTGAAGCCCTTAAATTGTTAAAGTTTCCGACAGATCAATGGGATTTTCCTTTATTCAATATTTTGTTGCAAAAACTCGATGTCGAAACTCGTAAAGCATTCGAATTGCAATATAAGTCAGTCGAATTACCATCATATTTGCAATTAAAAGAATTTATATTAGAGTATAGCAAGGTATTAAACAATTCCGCTGCAAGAACCGATAAAAGGTTATTCACTAATAATATTAGCAACAATCAATCCAAATTTACAAAACCGTTTCAGAAACGAACGGAACATTCATTTGCAGTAAATAATAGTTCACCCGTGTGCTATTTTTGTAAACAATCGCATGCAATCTATCATTGTCAACAATTTTTAAACCTCTTACCCGAAGATCGTTTTAAAGAAGTCAAAAAACTTAAATTGTGCATTAATTGCCTAAGGCCTGGTCATATCACAAACGAGTGTACATCAAGCAACTGCAGAAAGTGTCAAAATAAACACAATTCGATTTTACACTTTTCTACCGATAAATCTAATAACGTAAATTCGCAAAACGATTTAATTACCATTTTACCATCTACATCTAAAATTGATAATATGCCAAACGCAACACAGAGCAGTCATCAATCTTTAAGTATCATGCCAATAAAAGGTACAAAAGCCAATTGTTATCATACCGCTATTAATGATAACTTAGTTTTATTATCCACCGTCATTGTGGACATTTACGATTGTTACGGTCAACCTCAAAGCTGTCGAGCTCTTTTGGACTCAGGTAGTCAAAGTAACTTTATTACGGCAGATTTGGTAAAAAGGTTAGGTATTCAATTACAAGATTTCAAATTATCAATTACAGGCATTAATCAGAAATTAACACAGGTTCACGCATCTGCTGAAATTCATATCAAATCTAAATTTAATGATTTTAACACTAAATTACGATGTTTAGTACTACCGACTATTACAAATAAAATTCCGACAATTCCATTTAACACAGACAATTTAAATATAGGTCAAGACATTCAATTAGCTGACCCAACTTTCAATAAACCTGGACAGATTGATCTTTTATTAGGCGCAGGTATATACTATAGGTAATCTATTAGAGTCACAAACTATACAATTAGGTGACAGTAAACCAATGTTACATTTAACTAAACTCGGATGGATAGTAACAGGCTCAATAAATTTAAACTTCAATCAAACCAACAATATTTGCGGTATAAGTCTAAATGAACAATTAGCGAAATTTTGGGAATTAGAAGAAATTAACATAAAGAAACCCTTATCATTTGAAGAACAATATTGCGAAGATTATTTTAAATCCACCACAACACGTGACGTCAACGGGAGATTTATTGTTAAATTGCCCTTTAAAAACTCCGTCATAAATGTTGGTGATTCAAAAACCATAGCTATCAAACGTTTTAAGTCATTAGAGACAAAATTTGTAAACGACGACAAGTTAAAAGCCTCTTATATTGAATTTATGGACGAATATATTTCACTCCAACATATGGGCATTGATAATGCCATTACACCTGTTTCATATCTTCCACACCATGCAGTTTATAAAGACAACAAAATTCGAGTTGTTTTTGACGGATCTGCAAAATTAAGCAACGGTCTAAACATTAACGATTGTTTATGTGTAGGGCCAACTATTCAGAACGATCTCTTTGATATCGTTGTTCGATTTAGAAGTCATAAGTATGTTATGACTGCTGACATAAAAAAAATGTACCGACAGATCCTTGTTGATCAGTCAGACAGAAAATATCAAAACATTTTTTGGCGAGACAATCAACACGAGACTATTCAAATTTACAATTTAAATACAGTTACTTACGGCACATCTTGTGCACCATTTTTAGCAATTCGGTGTCTACACGAAATTGCATATCAAAATATACATTTTAAAAAATTTGCCTGTGAAACCATATTACGGGATTTTTATGTTGACGATTTGCTAACCGGGACTAACAGCATTGAAGACGCAATACAATTAAAAGACGAACTAAATACATTATTACGGTAATACGGTTTTGAATTGAGCAAATGGTCATCAAACAACAATAATATTACAGACTCGTGCACGGACAATACAGCTGATTTATTTAAAAGTCAATTTAGTGATAAAAACGTTAGGTTTGATATGGAATTCACGATCAGATACAATTCACTTTTCATTTCATTCAAATTCAACATTAAATGTAAAATCACAATATACAAAACGGCAAGTCTTATCCTTAATTTCAAAAATTTTTGATCCTTTGGGTTTAGTCGGCCCAATAATCATTAAAGCAAAAATTTTTATGCAAAAACTCTGGCTATTAAAAATTGATTGGGATGACATTATTCCTGAAGAATTAAATAGCGAATGGCTGAATTATATCAGTCAGCTTCCAGTAATTAATTCAATAATTACAAACAGGCCCTTACTTTGTGAAAATCCTGTTTCGATAGAATTACACGCCTTTTGCGATGCCAGCGAGTCTGCATATGGCTGCTGCATATATGCGCGATCGACAAATGATCAAGTTAACTATAGTACAAACTTAATTTGCGCGAAATCAAAGGTGGCTCCTTTAAAAACAGTATCAATTCCTCAATTAGAGTTATGTGG